ACCAAAGAACACACAGGCATGTATTGATCTCGTAGTAATGAGATCAATGCTTCTGGTAAGAGGCTAATTGTTTGTTTGGTAGTGGAAGCACAAAAGATCACTTTGAAGCTTGGATTTATGATCACCTTTTGAATTGGAAACGGATTGAGCACTTTTATTTACTGGATTGCACTCATATATATTTGGACTCTGAGATGTTTTTTTTTTTTTTTTTTTTTTTTCATGCATTGTTGTTTCACTTATATGATAGGGGTAGTACACCAGGTGAAGTATATATACTATATATTCTTAATAAAGAGCAATTACTGCTATTCTCTCTCCTTGCGCAGGGTGACTGGTCTTATATCCCCCCCAGTACTTTTCTGCTGGAAGTCTGTAGTGGGCGAAGCCTGCTAAGTTCCTTCCACAGCTCTGCTTTCTGCATGGGTTATGTAAAACACAGTGATGATGTCACCTTTATACAATAAATATGTAGGTTTGCAAAGGCATTTGGTGCACAGTGGATGTATATCCTTTGTGGCTATTGAGGAATATATTTAAATAAAAGATTTCCTGCCTGGAGTTCAGCTTCAAAGTGAAGAAAATTAAGGAATGTCTATTTTTTTACTTTCTACCAGAGGGAATTTCAGTTGTGTATATGGGTAGAAAGATATCAATGATCAGAGTGCCTAAATGTATAAAAGGACAGAGCATGGTCAACCTTCCAGTGTCTGCCCAGTCTTTTTTCAGACACTGCCCCACTACACACACACAATTAAACTTCAAATGCATATCATTACTCTAGACCACCTTCCTAAAAATGAAAACAGACCACGCATGAGCAATGTGTGTTGGCATGACCACTCATAGTCTCGCCTGTCAAATGCCTCCTTGCCGCCTGTCAGATGGACCTAGGCATGTGTGAATGAGCCCCTAATTATTTTTTTTAAATATATTTTCAGGTTTTTTTCACAGCCCTTTTGGCAGGGCTTTGGTAATATATCGGGGGTTTAAACAGACCCCTCATGTCTCACTTTGGAGACAGAAAAAGAGATTGAGGATATAGATTTCTTAGTTTCTTGCTATACAGCCTCAGCTGCACTGCAGATAAATGAACAGGAAGCATTTTATACAGATGCTCCCTGTAAATTCACAAACTAAAGCAGAATAAACTCAGTTTACTATGCATCAGTTATGAATGAACACAGGAGCATTTGGTACTGATCACTTACTGTGTTTATGCTGGTAAGAGAGAAGACAGTAAATATGACATATTTAGTGTCCCCTATTCTCCATCCTGACACTGATCCTTCTGTGCCCCAAAGCCAACAGCAGGAAGAGGAGGTGAACCCACCAGTGCTGCAGGAGGGGGTTATACCCAATACACCTGTGGCTTCCACTCCAGTAGTAGAATTCTGGTGGAAGGGAGAGGAGGAGAAGCTGGCTGAGCTGCAGGAGGAACCACATGGGGATTGGTTTAAAGGATTGCATCACTGATCCAATCACCCCCTTCCCCCTCCTGCTTGTCTTCTGCTGGGCCCCTCCTGCTGAACTGATGGGGCTAGAAACTCATACAGAAGCTCCAGCTGTATTGCTTTATCAGTGGCCCCTTCTTAAATGAAAGTTGCCTGAATTCTTATGAAATCATTAAAGTGGAGTTCCAGCCATTTTTGTGTTTATTAAAAGTCAGCAGCTACAAAAACTGTAGCTGCTGACTTTTAATAAACACACACTTACCTGTCCCGGTGTCTTGCGATGTCCTCACCACAGCTATCCCTTCTCCCCTTCTCTCTTCCACGGTGCCAGCATCTATACTGTGGGCACCAGGCGGTGACAGCTTGCAGCTTGCAGCTTCACAACCTTGTGCCAACTGCGCATGCGCAAGTCGTGCTGCGCCTCCTAATTGGTCCGGCAGTCTTCTGGGACCTGTGAAAGTTTCCAGGAGACTGCAGGAAGGAAGAGGGGATCGAACTTCCAGCTCACTTCGCCACGGCAAACTGAGCCGAAAGTGGGAGCGGGTATCTGTCAAAACCGATTACCCGCTCCCCCCAAAAGGTGCCAAATATGGTGGCGAAGGGGGGGGGGGAGGCAAATAAGCGGAGCATCCACTTTTGAGTGGAGCTCCACTTTAATAAAGAGACCCTCTTAATGATTAGAATACAGTATACTGATTTCTGACAATAGTGAATTGTTTAGATGTAGGAGCTTTAATGTGTAGGAAAGTCATTTAAAAGCAGGTGACTTTGCACTACATATTTGTGTTCATTATTTAGGATCCAGCTGTCATTCCTGAATTCATGCTCAAATAGTAAACTTTAACAGGAGCATGAAATTGGATATATGGCAAATCTCAGTACATCTGGGCTTCTGGCCATTGGCTTTTTCTGCCAAGTATGCAGCTACTCTGGTGCAAGTAATAGGAGACATTTAAATCTCCAAGGTAATCTGCTATCAAAAGAAAATTAAAAATTCCTTTCAACCTATGATTGAAGTCAGTAGGCAGACACCATGCTGACTCGGAACCCAAACACAGCAGCTTTAAATCATCATCAAATGGCTTCCTTGCCCTTCCACACCCACCTAATCCTGGCCACAGGCATCTGTACTTTATATGCAGAAGATGATCCAGCCAAATATACGTAACTAAGAGAGGTTGAAAGGGTGCAGTTTCCTCATCATATGGGAGGACTAACTATGACAGGTTGATTGGTATATGAATCCTGCGCTATGTAACTTTTCTCTGCTTCCTGCGTGTATGTATTTTATATGCAAAATGATGGTAGGTTTGAATCTGATTAATAATTGGGGGAAACATCTTAGTATTGAATTTTACAAATGTTACAGGAAAGTACAATTTTTTTCAGGGTGGCCTAATCAGCCAAATGCCACAGTACAAAAATAGAAACCAGGTAGGCCATGAGTTTTTTGGGTGTTCCTTAACTATTCAGAATTTTTATTACTCATCCTCAGTAACATGACTTTCTAAACATTCTTTTTTGATTCTTTGATTATCATTCATAAATGGGCAAGCTGCCATTTTTAGTTTAATTAGTATTTTATTAGAGTTTAGGTAGAGATAATAAGAACAAGAAAGTATAGCAAGTAGATTGTAGTAGAGTGCATATGGATAACATACCATGTATAAATAGTGGATACTGTACAGAAATATTGCATTGGGATAAAAAATGAGAGTTGCGATAAAGTATATTCATACCAGGATATATAAAATGGCAAATTGTAACTTTGCAAGAAAAAAAAAGTTTGGTTAAGCCTCATCCTACGGATGGCAGTTTGGCAGATCCGGGATATGGTGTAGATGGTTTGCAAGGCTAGCAAGGAGCAATAGAGCAACCCTGTATATGCTGAAAGCAAGAAATAAAGCATAGTACAGGTAGATAAAAAGGGCAGAAGGAATGAGGGGGCAGGTACTCCATAGTGGCTTTGTGGTAGTGTAAGAACAGCATTCAGCAATCCAATCTTGGAACACAGATGAGAGACAGAACATGGACTATGACCCCCACATTCCCAGATAGTGTTCAGTTCTTAAATTCATACCAAGAAAGGTATGGTTGTTGATTTCCAGTAATGGGGGATTATTGCTCTTCTAGCAGCAAGAAGATGGCAAAGACCATCCTTTGGAGAGCATGGCTATTCCTGGTGAGAGAGGTACATTAGTTGACATCACCCTACAATAGATGGTCATGATTTTAAAACTGCCCTGTTTTAAAGCTGTGTGAAAACCATTAGTTTTGTTGGTAGTAAACTTACAGCCCACAGAAGAGGCTATAGTTGTTAAAGAATTGCAATGACCCAGCCTGGCCAAATTTGTAGCTAACATCATGGTTTGGTTTATTTGCTCCGGAATAATGTTTGGCACTTGTCTACTGCAAAGCTTTTCTAGCTTGATTTATTCCTAAAATATTCATTCTATTGCCAACACTCATAGAGGATATAAAATATTAGAAAACAAATAAAAAAAATATATATATATATAGATATAAAAAGAAATACGTATAAAAAAATCTTTTTATATATATTTCTAATTTCTTAGAAAAAAATCTTATCGCTTTTATTCTTATATGTAGAGAACATTTGGGGGAAAATACCCCTGATACAATTATATGGACAACATAGGTATAAAAAGACTGAGCATTTTAAAGTTGTTATTGATTATCAGGAAGCCAAGCTTGCATGAGACATGCATTTTAAATGCAAAGTACCGTCTGATTACATTTTCGTGCACAGAGTTTAGATGCCTTAAGAATGCATTACTTTCAGAGAATAATCTGGAATATGCAGTGTTTCTTATCAGTTTGGCCCTTTGGTCAGCACATCTATTTGGTTTTACAGGATTTATTCTTGGTTAAAAAAGATTTTAAAATATAACTAAAGGCAAAACTTTTTTTTGTTTTGACAGAGTGAAGATGGATAAAAATAAATGTTTTATTACTCTCTACCCATTTAGGTATTTGTCCTGTTTACCATTATCATTTAAAGTGAAAGTAAAAGATTGCCAAATTTTGTGTTTTTCCAAGAAGAATAAAAGAGGGAAAATCTTCAAATGAGGTCACTAGTTTTGGTGATCCAGTAGGGCCCCAAGAGATTCCCTTGATTTGCAGTTTCCTCTAACCTGACTAGGCTATGGGACAGGAAGTGAAGGGAAATCTACCCAAAGGGACACAGATGGCAAAAACAAAACTGACCGGAGTTATAGCTCTATCTTCAAAATTAAAGTAAAGTTTTTCCTTTGGTTCTACTTTAACATTGTGGGACTTTCATAACACTTCCAAATCAAACTTTGTATTGGTAAAATCTGTTGTTGTTTATGACTACATTTACAACTACTTACCACTTACTTGGGCACAAAAACTTTTATTGAAATATATTCCTCAATAGATAAACTCAAGGTTGAGCATACTAAATATACATTATATTGCCAAAAGTATTGGGACACCCCTCCAAATCATTGGATTCAGGTTTTCCAATCACCTCCATGGCCACAGGTGTATAAAATTGAGTATGAAGACTGCTTCTACAAACATTTGTTAATAATTTGTTGCTCTCAAGAGCTCAGTGAATTTAAGCATGGTACTGTGATAGGTTGCCACCTGTGCAATAAGTCCATCCATGAAATTTCCTTGCTACTAAATATTCCGCAGTCAACTGTTAGTCGTATTATAACAAAGTGGAAGCAACTGGGAACAACAGCAACTCAGCCACAAAGTGGTAGGCCACGTAAATGACAGAGTGGGGTCAGCGCATGCTGAAGCACACAGTGTGCAGAAGTCGCCAACTGTCTGCAGAGTCAATAGCTAAAGACTTCCAAACTTCATGTGGTCTTCAGATTAGCACAACAATAGTGCATAGAGAGCTTCATGGAATGGGTTTCCATGGCCGAGCAGCTGCATCCAAACCTTACAACACCAAGTGCAATGCAAAGCTCCCAATGTAGTGGTGTAAAGCATGCCACCACTGGACCACTGGAGACATGTTTTCTGGAGTGATGAATCATGCTTCTCTGTTTGGCAATCCAATGGACTTGTCTGGGTTTGGCAGTTGCCGGGAGAACGGTAATTGCCTGACTGCATTGTGCCAAGTGTAGAGTTTGGTGGAGGGGGAATTATGGTGTGGGGTTGTTTTTCAGGGGTTGGGCATGGCCCCTTAGTTCCAGTGAAGGAAATTTTTAAGGCGTCAGCATACCAAGACATTTTGGACAATTTCATGCTCCTAAATTGTGGGAACAGTTTGGGGATGGCCCCTTCCTGTTCCAACATGATTGTACACCAGTGCACAAAGCAAGGTCCATAAAGACATGGATGAGTGAGTTTGGGGTGGAGGAACTTGACTGGCCTGCACCGAATCCTGACGTCAACCCGATAGAAACACCTTTGGGATGAATGAATAAGCCGGACCTTCTCATCCGACATCAGTGTCTGACCTCACAAATGTACTTCTGGAAGAATGGTCAAACATTCCCATAGACACACTCCTAAACCTTGTGGACAGCCTTCCCAGAAGAGTTGAAGCTGTTATAGCTGCAATTGGTGGGCCAACTCAATATTGAACCCTACAGAGTAATGTGCATGTAAAGGCAGGCGTCCCAATACTTTTGGCATTATAGTGTATCATCACTGTTGTGTACATAGCCTGTGCAGAGAGCAGAGCTGTGCGAGGGACCCAACAGTTCCATCCAGTACAGGATGCCAAACTACAGGAGAGGACGTAGACATACCCAGTTACCCTGAACAAGGATAGGGGGTAGCAGTGCCTGAGTTACAGGAAACATCTGCAAAGAAACAAAGTTTTACACTGGATTACTGAATAGATCTGGAAGAAATATACAAAGTACACCAATATTCAAGAAAAAAATACACATACCTCTTGTATCTAAACCAGTCTTTCTCAACCAGGGTGCCTTGAGGTTTCTTCAGGGGTGCCTTGGAAAAATGTCTAAAGATTGCACAAAACTTGTATACAAGCAAGCAGGTGGAACAAGCCTGCCTTTTAGTTACACAAATCTACAGGTTTTCATTGTGCACCATTATGGCCTTTTAGCCGCCGGTGCCCTGACAACCAATGACATCATCAGTTGATAAGGAGGATGTCAGCTGCCTGCACAGCATCCTAGTTTGACCCTCCCCTGCCCCTCTCCATCAGTGCTGGGGTCACATTAACTCAGTGATGGAGAAAACTGAGGGAGAAGAGAAACATTGGAATACTACACTCTGTACCAGTGTGCAAAAGTGCGTTTGCTTTGGAAGAATAAATCAGCTGTAATGTTGAGTGTCCTACATGTGTGATGCTACTGCGTTATATAAAACTATTAGAATAGTTTTTCACATTTTAGAACGAGGTGCCCTTTTAAAACTATGGACAGTCCAGAGGCACCCCATTTTAGAAAAGGATATCTCAGGACTGACCATAATTGTAAAGGGTGCTTTGACTGACGGGTGAGAAAGACTGATCTAGAGAATAGTTGCTCAGAGTTCAGCTTGTATTTACTATACTTTCTAGTGTATGACAGCATCTAAAATATGAGAAGTCTTCTTCGTTAGCTTTTGATGGATAGTCCAGTGTAAAACCCTAAATGATCTCTTTATAATGTTTTCAAGAAAAAACCATCGTAAATTACACTTTTTCATGGCCTGGGTAGACTATAGAGGGTGCCTTATTATTTTTAGACATGTTAGTGAGGTTACAGCTGTGAGCACACAATGACAATCGGATTACCTTGGTGTCAGCAGGCAGAGGACCAATGAAGTGGATGTCAATTAATGGAAGAGAGACTACCTAGATAGGAAGAATATGAAGGTTTTTGTGAGAAAAGTTTATGCACCTCTGTTCTATGTACTCAGCCATAAGTAACATCTCTTCTACTGCATCATTTTGGTATTTTTTAACTAGTTCTCTTGTTTTTTTTCTCTCTTCTTTTTCATGTTATTCTGTCATAGTAAATGCAATCCTCAGATGTTTCTATGATAGCTAAAAGTATAAGTGTATTAGCAAGCAATGTAAAGTGGTATATATATATATCCTAGATTGTAAGCTCCAAGGAGCAGGGCCCTCCTTTCCCTCTTGTATTTAACTGTATTGTTGCTGTATTGTCTCCCGTTATATTGTAAAGTGCTGAGCAAACTGTTTGCGCTATTTAAATGATGTATAATAATAATAATATTTTTTTATATATATATATATATATATATATATATATATATATTTTTTTTACTTGTTGCCATGTTTTGTTTTATAATTGTGCCATTCTGTTTTGACCTACAGTTGAATATGCATCCCATAAGAAATAAAAAAATGTGTTTTACCTGTGCACTCAATGGTACATACTGTATATTAATTCTCCAAGGCTATGCAAACGTTTGAGCACAACTGTGTATACATACTATATTAGGGAAAATTGTATTCCATACTTACCGTAATTTCCTTTCCTGAACCTCCCCATGTCAGCCTACCACGGGTCAGCTCCACCTTCTCTGACCCCTCCAGGACAACCTCTTTCCTCGCCTATAAGAGCAGCTGTCTCCCCTCACTCACCGTTCTTTTTTCATCCTCGCTCCAGACACCTTGGAAAATCTCTCTCCTATGGCCTTCCAGGTTTAGCCTCTCCTGGGTAAGAAGACCCCTCGTTTGGGCTGTAAACCTTCCTATGCAGTGGGTTCCTTTGGTGCAGGGATTGTTATGCATGTTTTAAAAATTTCTAAGGCAGGGTGACTTACCTGTGCATAGATTGGATGGCTTGTAGTCCCATTTCTCAGTACGTTGATCCATATCACAGCAGGTCTGTGGGCTGGTTGACACTTGTAGTCCATATCTGAGCAGGTCTGTGGGCTGGCTGACACTTGTAGTCCATATCTCAGCAGGTCTGTGGGCTGGCTGACACTTGTAGTTCATATCTCAGCAGGTTTGTAGACTGGCTGACACTTGTGGTCCATATCTCAACAGGTCTGTGGACTGGCTGGCATCTGGGGCTGGTAATCCCCACATTCATGGCGGCTGTGTTTGTTCTGGCTACAGAGCAGGCTAGGTAGTGCACATGCTAAGACGGCAGGCGCTGAAATTCTCGGGTTGCCATGGAGCTGCCGGGATGCTCTGTGACACAGGAAGCTACTGTGTTATCTAGAGGCTGGCTCTCTTTCTCATGTTGCAGCTCTGTAGCTACTGCAGACTCTGCTGTGTCTCTATGAGCTCCACCTGTTTAATGAATCGCTCTCCTGCTCCAGCCTGGGTCTTTCTGCTGCTCTGCTCCCTGTAGGTCGCCTCAGCTGTTTGCCTGTTTACCTTGGATGCATGCACATGTATTATGACTCTGAGATGTGGGTTAGGTTATATTCCCCCTTAGTCTGTTTTGCTAAAAGCTGCAGCTTCAAGCACTGAAGATCTAATGGAGAGGTATTTTTTTCTTTTTATTTGTTATTCATTTATTTTATTTATTTTTTGCTACTTTTTAAAAGAGTGCTATCTGTGAACCTTTTTTAGCAGAAAGAAGACTCCAGCGCGGAATAAAGCGTCCGCCAAGAGCTCGGTCCTAAGAAATCCTGTCTCCTGTTGTGGATTAAACTTCCACCAAGTGGTCGTTCTAGGATGCCAGCGCCAGTGGCCCATTGCAGTGGATCAAGTCAGAATGACAGCAAAGTTATTAGCTCACACAGTAACACCAAAAAAAAGCCTTATGGCTAAAGCATTGGTCTGCTGACAATGCCTCTAAACAAAGCCTTGGCTCGATTCTGTTTTATGGGAAGCCCCATTTTGTCAAGACCTGTAAAGCTGTCATTCAGCAGGTATTCGGTGGGAAATCATGCCTTATCCTGCAGAAGAAGAGATGGCAATGTCAGTCCTTTTGGTCTTTCAGAAGAGTTAAGAATTGTTTCAAAGAAGCCAGTGCGTAAAGGCCTGTGAGCCATTTTTCAGACATTGGAAGAATATCAGTGCAGCATTTCCCAAGGGAGTAAACTCCAAATCAAGCCAGCCAGTTAGGTCTTCCGACAAGGCCTTCAAAAGGTGTCTCCGCCCAGCCCTCTCAAGTGGGAGCAAAATTGGCTGTATTCAGGGAGGTCTGGGTGGAAGAAGTGGAGGATGCTTGAATTATGGATGTCATCCAAAATGGATATCTGTTAGAATTTGTTAAAAGGCCCCTCAGTATTACTTCGGGGGAATTTGGGTACCAATGTGTCCAGATAAACTGAATTGTTTGCACACATATATAAAGGAATTGTTAACAGCTTAAGCTATTTTTCCTGTACAAAGACAAGAATGGGGCAAAGACAACTGTTCCTCTTTGGTTCTGGTGATCAAGTCCTCAAGCGCCCTCAGACCAGTTCTAGACCTGGAATTCCTGAATTCCTCTATGAAGGCACCTCCTTTCAAGATGGATTCCTGGGAGGCCATCATTTCTGTAGTAAATGACTGGATGGCCTCAGTGGGTTTGGCAGGCACCTATCTGCATGCCTCCATAGTTGTGGCTCATTATTACTTTCTCAGGTTTGCGTATACGAGGGGCACTTTTCCAGTTTGTTCTTTGCCATTTGGGCTTTGCACCACTCCCAGAACTTTCAGAAGGCTGCTGTCAGTCAGCATAGCTGTTCTGAGACTCAGGGGTCTACAGATATTTCATTACCTCGAAGACATCCTTCTGTTAGCCTTGTCAAGAAGTCTTCTGATGGATCACATGTCTCTAACCTGTAACACGCTCAAATGCTTTGGGTGGATAATCAACCATCAAAAGAGTCAACTGCAATCAACGCAGTTCGTGCTATATCTTTCTCCCCCAGAAGAAAGTCCAAAAGGTCCAGACTCGGATGAGGGAAATAATGAGCAAACCTTGCTTATTGGCAATAGAGTGCATGCAGTTCCTGGGCCTTCTGTTATCCACTATCCCAGTTATTC